TTCTTGCTGTAGTTACGTGTTATCAGGTCAGTTCCGACTTGTAGCGACCCTATGTACAACAGAACGAAACACTGCCTGGTCCTGTGTCATCCTCACAATCATTGTTATGTTTGAGCCCATTGTTGCAGCCACTGTGACAGTCCATCTTGTCGAGGGTCTTCCTCTTTTTTGCTGACCCTCTACTTTACCAAGCATGATGTCCTTCTCCAGGGACTGATTCCTCCTGATAACGTGTCCAAAGTATAAGACAAAGTCTCGCCATCCTTGCTTCTAAGGAGCATTCTGGTTGTACTTCTTCCATGACAGATTTGTTCTTTTTCTGGTAGTCCATGGTATATTCAATATTCTTTGCGAACACCATAACTCAAAGGCATCAATTATTCTTCGGTCTTCCTGATTCATTGTCTAGCTTTTGCATGCATACGAGGTGACTGAAAATACCATGGCTTGGGTCAGGCACACCTTAGTCCTCAAAGTGACATCTTTGCTTTTTAACACCTTAAACAAGTCTTCTGCAGCAGATTAGCCCAATGAAATGCGTCGTTTGATTCCATGACTATTGTTTCCATGGATGTTGATTGTGAATCCAGGTAAAATGAAATTCTTGACTACCTTAATCTTTTCTCTGTTTATCATGATGTTGCTTATTGGTCCAGTTGTGAGGATTTTTGTTTTCTTTATGCTGAGGTATAATCCATACTCAAGGCTGTAGTCTTTGATCTTCATCGGTAAGTGCTTTAAATCCTCTTCAGTTTCAGCAAGCAAGGTTGTGTCATCTGCATATTCCAAGCTGTTAATGAGTCTTCCACCAATACTGATGCCACATTCTTCTTCATATAGTTAGCTTCCCAGATTATTTGCTCAGCATACAGACTGAGTAAGTATGGTGAAAGGATGCAAAGCTGATGCATACCTTTCTTGATTTTAAACCATGCAGTATCCCCTGCTCTGTTCAAACGACTGCCTCTCGATCTATGTACAGGTTCCTCATAAGCACATATAAGTCTTCTTGAATTCACATTCTTTGCAATGTTATCCATAATTTGTTATGATCCACACAGTCGAATGCCTCTGCATAGTCAACAAAACACAGGTAAACATCTTTCTGGTATTCTGTTTTCAGCCAAGATCCATCTGACATCAGCAATGATATCCATTGTTCCACATGCTTTTCTGAATTGGGCTTGAATTTCTGGCAGTTTCCTGTCGATGTACTGCTGTAACCACTTTTCAGTGATCTTCAGCAAAATTTTACTTGTGTGTGATATTAACAACATTGTTTGATAATTTCCACAATCTGTTGGATCATCTTTCTTCGGAATGGGCACAAACATGGATCTCTTCCAGTCGACTGGCCAGGCAGCTGTCTATCAAATTTCTTGGCATAAACAGGTAAGCACCTCTGGCACTGCATCCGTTTACTGAAACATCTCAATTGGTATTCCATCAATTCCTGTAGCCTTGTTTTTCGCCAATGACTTCAGTGCAGCTTGGACGTCTTTCTTCAGTATCATCGGTTCTTGATCATATGCTACCTTCTGAAATTGTTGAACATCAATCCTTTTTGGTACAGTAACTCTGTGTATTCCTTCCATCTGCCTTTGATACTTCCTGCGTCATTCAATATTTTGCCCATTCCCCCCGCAAAAAAACAAACCCGTTGCCATTGAGTCGATTTCGACTCATAGTGACCCTATAGTTGAGCTCTTTTACTTCATCATTTCTTCCATTTGCTTTAGCTACTCTACATTCAAGAGCAAGATTCACAGTCTCTTCTGATATCCATTTTGTTTTTTTTCTTCCTTTTTAATGACCTTCTGCTTTCTTCATGTATGATATGCTTGATGTCTTCCCACAACTTCTCTGGTCTTTGGTCATTAGTGTTCAGTGCATCAAATCTATTCTTGAGATGGTCTCCAAATTCAAGTGGGATATACTCAAGGTCGTACTTTGGCTCTCATGGACTTGTTTTAATTTTCTTCAGCATCAACTTCAGATTGCATATGAGCAATTGGTAGTCTGCTCCGCAGTCAGCCCCTGCTCTTGTTCTGACTGATGACATTGAGCTTTTCCATCGTCTTTTTCCACAGATGTAGTCGATATGATTCCTGTGTTTTCTATCTGGTAAGGTCCACATGTATAGTCGCTGTTTATGTTGTTGAAAAAAAGGTATTTGCAACAAAGAATTCATTGGTCTTGCAAAATTCTGTCATGCAATCTCCAGCATCATTTCTATCACCAAGCCCATATTTTCCAACTACTGATCCTTCTTCGTTTCCAGCTTACACATTCCAATCCCCAGTAATTATGAATGCATCTTGATTACATGTTTGATCAATTTCAGACTGCAGAAGTTGGTAAAAATCTTCAATTTCTTCATCTTTGGCATTAGTGGTTGATGGGTAAATTTGAATAATATTCATATTAACTGGTCTTCTTGTAGGTGTATGGATATTATCCTATCACTGACAGCACTGTACTTCAGGACAGATCTTAAAATGCTCTTTTTGACGATGAAAGCGACACCATTTCTCTTCAATTTGCTATTTACTGCATAGTAGGCCATACAATTGTCTGATTCAAAATGGCCAGTACCAGTCCATTTCAGCTCACTAATGCCTAGGATATCAATCTTTATGAGTTCCATTTCATTTTTGATGACTTCCAATTTTCCTGGATTCATACTTCATACATTCCACATTCTGATTAACAGATGTTTGCAGCTGTTTCTTCTCATTCTGAGACATGCCACCTCAGCAAATGAAGGTTCCAAAAGCTTGACTCCATCCACGTCACTAAGGCTGACTCTACTTTGAGGAGGCAGCTCTTCCCCAGTTGTATTTTGAGTGCCTTCCAATCTGAGGGGCTCATCTTCTGCCACTATATGAGACAATGTTCCACTACTATTCAAAAGGTTTTCCTTGGCCAATTTTTTCAGAAGTAGACTGCCAGGTCCTTCTTCCTAGTCTGTCTTAGTCTGTAAGCTCCACTGAAACCTGTCCAAGGGTGACCTTGCTGGTATTTGAAATACTGGTGGCAAAGCTTCCCGTATCACAGCAACACACAGGCCACCACAGTACGACAAACTGACAGGCATGTGGTGCTACAGCTTCTTAAAGGCACCTACTGTAAAATAAGCTACAGTTGTATGCTGAAGTGGCACACAAACTTGAGGTGCTGGGGTTGAGAAATGAGGGTTTTCAATAAATCTGGGTGACACAGTTGAGAAATAAAGTATTTATAGGCACTTGAGGGCAAGCAATATTATGGATCTTAATCCAGCTTTTTGCATATTGAATATGAGCTACCGTTAATACAGTTTTACATTAAAATACTGTACTAACAGTTTTTAATAAGTTTTTTTGAGATATAACCCATATTCCATAAAACTCACCCTATTAATGTACAGAATTCATTGGTTTTTAGTATATTCACAAAGATGAATCACTGCTATCTAACATCAGAATATTCTCCTCACCCCAAAAACAAATTCCATACCCATTAGCAGTCACTTCCCACTCCCTTCTTTGCCCACTCCCTGGCAACCATTAACCTACTTTCTGTCTATGCGTATGCCCATTCTGGGTATTTAATATAAATGGAATCACAGATATGTGGCCTTTTGTGACTGGCTTCTTCTACTTAGCATAAGGTTCATCCTTCTGGCATGTATCAGTACTTCATTCCTTGTTATTGCCAAATAATAAGTCATGGTACGGATATGGCACATTTTGTTTATCCAGTCATCAATTGATGGACATTTGAATTATTTCTACTTTTTGTTATTATAAATAATGCTGTTATGAGTATTCATGTACAGGTTTTTGTGGAACCATATGCTTTCAATTCTCTTGGGTAAATACCTAGGAGTGGATATACTAATGATTTTTTAAAAGGTGGAGCAGAAGGATGGGAGCACCACATTTCACCTCGTTTTTGGTAAAAAGGGCTTTCTTTGGAGAACAGTTGGCTCAAATGACCAGATTTATCCATCTTGAGAACATATTTTGACAAAAGTAAGGGGAAGTCCAGATTATTGGATAGCAGTGGAATGAAGAGAAGCCTCCACACGAGGTCACTGGGGAGATCTTGAATTCTGAGGGTGACATGAGGGAAACCAGGAGCAACAGAGCAGAAGGGCCAAAGTCACGGAAACCGTGGAAGAAGGAACAACCCTACCTGGAAACTGAGCTTTCCCCATACTCCCCTTATGAGATGCCAATGCCCACCTGTGGGTGGGGAGATGACACCCAGCAAAGGTGCTCATAGGAGGGGCCTCCACACAGGGCTGTGACTCAGAGAGGGAGGCTTTTTATAATCTTAGTGTATTCAGGGGCATTGTCAGTTTTCTGGTCAACCAGGAGGCAGTTTCTTGTCCTTAGTTTCTCCAGCCTTTGCTTTTGTGCTGGAGCTGAATGGAGGTTTGGGTCAGTCTCTCTTCACCTTGACCTCATCCTCCCATAAGCTCTGAGATGAAGGTCCCTTCTCCCTAATGGAGCCTACCCCCATCTTAAATAGGAGCTCTGTCACAGTCAGCAATCCACAGAAAACCCTCCATACGGTCTTCTTGGCTTCTTTATACACCAACTCCATAGGTTTGGCAAACAATCACTTTATCAAAATAATACAGTTTTTAAAATTCACAGGATGGAGAGGTGACAGAGTGGAGTAGCTAAAGGAAGGATGTGGGAGATGGACTGCAGAGCTAGACTTAACTCTACCACTGACTAGCTGTTGACCTCAGGCAACTACTTTACCTCCCTAGGACTCAGCTTCCTCCTCTGTAAAATGCTTAGAACAGTACCTGACATATAGCAAATGCCTCATAACTGTTGGTTATCATTTTAAAATATCAATTCAACTTTCAGTAAGAATTTATATCCAAGTGCTATGAAATGCTACTTTCCTAGGGTTTAAATGGAACCCAAGCTTCTGGCTTATATCAATGTAAACACCAAGAGACTGAAAGGATGTTACAGTTACCTGAAGATACTTTTTACCTTACATAACACTTCCAAGGAATATTCTTCTATTTCTGTAATTAAAAATAAATGTGTTTAATTCACACGATGAAAAAATATACAAACAAACTAAAAGAATTCCTTTGCAAAAACAAAAACAGATAATTAAACTCTTACATGACTTTCTAATGTTTGAACTGAAGGTTTTCCTTTTGTGGAACACGCTTCTGCATCATTCAGGATGCAGAAAGCAGCTGCTGAGTCATCACTTAGGGAACCACTGCACAAGACATGTAGTTGGTCCATGTGAGACCCAGTCCATGTCAGATGACTTCAAACTCAACATGGCCAGACATTTTGATTTGAAATGGGGAAAATATATTAGAAAAGGGGTGGGCAGCAGATGGCTCAGCTATTCTCTGTGTCACTGAGTCCTGTAGGGACCAGGGGTCCTGCTACTTGCCTGGCTGTGTCCCCTGTTCCTGCCTCCATACTTGTGGTTCTTAACATTTTTTGACTGAAGACCCCTCTGAAACTGATAAAAACAATGGATTTTCTCCCCCAGGAAAATGCTTATAAATCCACACATGGTTCAGCGGTTCAGAAACCTCCTGAAGCCCATCCTTAGATAGACTCCCCTGGGATCCATCCAAACACCAAACCCACTGCTGTCGAGTCAATTCCGACTCATGATAACCCCATGTGTTACAGAGTAGAACTGCTCCATAGGATTTTCTTGGCTGTAATCTTTACAGGAGCAGATCACCAGGCCTTTCTTCTGTGCTGCTGCGCGGGTTCTAAAGGTTAGTGGTCAAGTGCAAACCATCTGCACCACTCAGGAACCTCTGGCATCCAAAGACACTGGGTTGAGAATCTGGCCTACACCCTCACTGTCCAGCAGGGGACTATCCTGGGCACAGGCAACTGTATTTATTGTGTGGGGATCAGGAACATCTGGGGCCAATTGTCCAGAGACACGAGACACTCAAGCAGAAGAGGAGGTAAAGTCAGGCCCTTCTGTCCGGAGGCCTTGAACTGCCACCTGCTCTGTCCTGGGACCAGGGGCAGCACAGAGCGGGTAGAGAGGTCAGACAGTTAGAAGGCATGACCAATACAGGATGACAAGAAAACCAACCCACCGTGAGGAGACGAGGACTCTCCATACCCTTTCATGTCCACAGCAAGTACCCGGAAGCCTGCCTGCGCTAGAGCAGGGATCTAGAAAACAAACAGTTCAGGTACGGACCAGTGTGGTGTGATCAGTTCTTTTCTGACACAGCCTTTCTGCTACCCTCTACCCCGTTCCTGTAAATGGCTCAATCCAAAGTGCTGCATGGCACAACCTGGTATCCTTACCATAGGGCTGGAATAAGCCCATCTGGATAGGGCATGAGGTTTATGCACACATACAATGCCACATATAAGAGGGCACCTTTCCTGGCACAGACCTTTTAGGTATGTATATTATATTAAAGATTTCCCAGCAGGTGGCATAGAATGTCTTAAAGAAGGTTGCTTTTCCTAATCTGCAAAGGCGCCGTATTGTTTAGCAGTGCCTGAGGTCTGGAGTGATCGTGGTCTGAGGCATCATGGTCCCGCTTTAGAGACAAAGCTCCACTGGAAGCTTTTGGCTTCTTACATTTCTAATGGACATTACAGGCTGGCCAAGGCCATCCAGACTTTCCCCTCACCTCCCCTGACTGAGGTGCACCTTCCCCTACTCTCCCTTACCTGGTATCTCCAGGAGAACCAGCTCTCAGGAAAGCCATGGCAGAGGCACACCACAGGCCCGGTGCCCAGCTCGACAAAGTGCAGACGGACCCCTGGCTGTGGAGGAGACAGGTGGGTGAACACTGACAATCAGTTCCTATTCTCTTCCGTAGATCGCTACAGGCCAGCATTCTAGTCAGTTGCCGGATCCTGCATGGCCCAGCTTTCTAAGCTAAAGACCCCAATGTTAGAAGAAGATATCTGAGAAGAGAAAACTGGCCAAAGATGTGCAATAAAAACAGGTGGCTTTCTTTGGAAAACAAGAAGCCTGACAAATTATGATGCTGGGAAACAAAAGGAGGGAAAAACTTTGCCTTCCTCTCTGAAAGGCCATCATACTGTCAGAGTTTCTGGTGCTGTTTGACATATCTGTTTTCAGTATTTTTATCTGGGGGCTGATTTTGTGCTCATATTAATGTGTGGAATACCAAGATTATTTCATTAAAAGCTGTATAGCCTCTTAAATGTGCTATTTTTTCCAACCTCTGCTATAGTTCTAGTCCTTTCTGGGGCCGGATAGATGTGGCAGACTGCTAGAGCTCACCGATGTCTGCATCCTGCTCTTCTTCTTGGCATGTGGTGACTTTCCAGACCCTCTGGTGTGGCCATGTGCCTCAGTTTTGGCCAGTGGAATGTGAGCAGAACAAAGGTGTGCTGTGTTCCAGGGCCCACATAAGCCTCCCACGCTTGACTCTCCCTCTCTTTTTCAGCTGAATGGACTGGACCTTGAGGAAGATGGAGCCTGCAGCGAAGAGGAGCCTGGGTGTTTGAATGACTGTGTGGAGAGAGCCCACTACCGACCTGCACTGGACTACACTGCAAGCAAGAAGCAAACTTTGTGTTAGGTCACTGAAAAGCTTGGGGTTGCTCGTTACAGTAGTTAGTCTACCTCAACTAATACAGTGGGATCTAAACAAACAAACTAAAGCAATATATAATCAAAACCCACTGCTGTTCAGTCAATTCTGACTCATAACGACCATATAGGACAGAGTAGAACTGTCCCATAGGGTTTCCAAGGCTATAATCTTTACGGGAACAAACTGCCACAACTTTCTCCCATGGAGCAGCTGTGGGTTTGAACAGCTCACCTTTCAGTTAGCAGCTGAGTACTTTAGCCACTGCACCACCAGGGCTCCTTCTATATAATCAAAGCGCCCTATTTTTTCTAAGAAAGTATATATTACCAACTTTGTAATGGAAATAAATGACCATAATAAGAGTCATATTATAGAAATTAACTTGGAACAATTCTATCTGGCTATATCTAAGACTATTACAAGGAGCCTTTGTGGCGCAGTAGTTAAGCACTTGGCTGCAAACCAAAAGGTCAGTGGTTTGAACCCGCCAGCCACTCCACTCAACAGGAGAAAGATGTGGCAGTCTGCTCCCATAAAGATTACAGCCTTGGAAACCCTACTCTGTCCTATAGGGTCACTATGAGTCACAACTGACTTGATGGCAATGGATTCAACGGGTAAGACTATTATAATAAGCTGGTGTCCCAAACTGGAATTTTCTTTCAAGATTCACAACAAGCTATTCCGATCAAGAAAACACTAGGCTGAAATTTCACACACCATTTCACAGATTACAATCTTTTTATTGGACTATGTTCCATAGTCTTCCCTTTAGAGCTTGATAAAAGTTAATTTTAAATTTTATACTCCTTATATTAAAAAACGTTGTAGTGTTGATGTCCAATCAAATGAGTCTAATTAGCCGTAACATAGATCCTAACTAAAAGGCTCACTCTTGATGCTTCAAATTTCACTCAACTGAGTGGTTCAGCAAAGGTATGTACTTTCTCACCCATTAAACTCTATATTAATAAAATTACCATAAAATCAGCAAACAGGAAAGATCTATTAACAACCCAGCTTGGGTTGCATGAGAATCCAGTGTGCTGGAAAAGTATCTGGAGGGCAATCCAACAGCACCCTGACACCCTGGGCTCAGCTGGGCCTCCCCAAAGGTTCACTGCCTCAGCTCTTAAATTTGGGGTGGGACTAGAGGGTGTTTACTATGGCTGCAACATGGATATTTACAGCTGTTTCTTCTCAGAAGAATGGTGAGACTCTGGCTCACTTACTTTGGACATGTCATCAGGAAAGGACAATCACTAGAAAAGGGTATCATGTTTGGTAAAGCAGAGGGTCAACAAAAACAAGGGAAACCCCCAAGGAGATGGATTGACACAATAGCCACAACAATGGACTCAAACATACCAATGATCATGAAGATGATACAGGACTGGGCAACATTTCATTCTGTAACATATAAGGTCACCATGAGTCAGAACCAACTCGATGGCAACTAACAACAATGAGAGGGGGTGGTAAAGCAGCTCTGATCAAGGTCAAATGAGAATATTTTGAAACTGGCTGGATATGCAAGCATAAACAGGGTTACTAGAATGAACCCTGTCCATAGTGTTAAGACGAAAGGTTAGTTATACTCCAGATCCCACCCCAAGCAAAGCACCCTCGCTCCCCATCACTACCAGAGATAACCAGAGGTCTAAATGCGCCCTCTTATTAAAAGTTCACCCCCTTCACGAGTACCCAGGGTTACAGGAAGGATTGTAGTGACATCGACCAACAGCTTTCACTAGCAGAAAAGTCCTTTCTTACTATCAAAAATCCCACTCATCCTGTGATGCTTACTTCATGTTGTGAACCTTTGTGGTTGCTGCCTCCACCCCACAGAGCCCATTCTGAGCACTCTGGGCATTGCTGCTGTTAAGCACGACCTCATTCTGTGATGTACAAGCAAGAAACAAACTTTGTGTTAAGCCACTGAAATTCTCGGGCTGTTTGTTACAGGAGTTATTCCTTGGTTGTGAATGTGTAACTCTAGTCATTACACTGTGAAATTCCTGAGTCAGGGAAGACACTTCACTTAGCTCAGTATTTCCTGCTGTTCCTAGCAAATAGTTAGTACTCAATATATATCTGTGGGGTTATCCTCCAAGGAGGGGGGCAGTGTGGTTCAGTGGCAGAATTCTCGCCTTCCATGCAGGACAGTTGGGTTCGATTCTCAGCCAATGCACTTCATGCGCAGGAACCACCCATCTGTCAGCAGAGCCTTGTGTGTTGCTGTGATGTTGAACAGGTTTCAGTGGGGCTTCCAGACTAAGATGGACTAGGAAGAAAGGCCTAGTGATCTACTTCTGAAAACCAGCCAGTGGAAACCCTGTGGATCACAACGGTCTGATCCACAACCCATCATGGGATGTCGCAGAACCAAACAGTGTTTTGTTTCGTCGTGCATAGGGTCACCATGAGTCAGGACACCTAATAACAATAATCCTCCGGGGCAACAACTCTGCCCATGGGTCTCCAAGGCCAGCAGGCCCACCTCAGGTCACCACCTCTTCTCTTCATTGTTGTTGTTGTGAAGTGCCATCGAGTAAATTTTCGACTCTCAGTAACCCTATGTGAACTACCCCACAGGGTTTCCTAGGGTGTAATCTTTTTTTTTAATTGTTCTTTAGGTGAAGGTTTACAGAACAAATAGTTTCTCATTGAACAGTCAGTACACATATTGTTTTATGACATTGGTTAACAACCCCACAACTTGTCAACACTCTCCCTTCTCTACCTTGGAGGAACTTTTTTTTTTTGGTGAA